AGCATGTGAGGTCTAATTTAACTAGAGATAGCTAAAGTTAACAACTAATAATTAAAGTTAGCATGTGAGATCTAAAGTTAACATGTGATAAAGTAGATATCTAAGAATTTTAAATATCTTATATCAATTTCTAAAGTTCGATGTTAAATTTAGATCATACATGTTAACTTTAGACTTTACATGTTAATTCTAAACATTAGATGTTAATTTTAGACCTTATAATTTACTTTAATTGTTAAATGTTAACTGTAAAGCTTAGATGTTAACTTTACTTGTTAAGTACTAATTTTGATGTGATGTTATGAGACAATTATTTTTAGCCACAAAAAAGATGGTCTTTAAATGATGTAGTGGCAGTTGTAGAAAGAATAAGGAGGAGATGGAGATAGAGGTGGAGGTGGAAATGGTGGAGGAGAGAGGAGGGTGAAAATGGAATTGAAAAGGTAGGAGAGGGAAGAGGAGGAAAGTGGAGATGGGTTGGAGGAGAGAGGAGGAAGGAGAAGGGTGAGTGGATAAAGGAGGGCGTCGAAGAGGGAAGATGACGGAGTTTAGGTGGAGGAGAGATGAGAGAAGAGAATGAACTTGGGTGAAGGGGAGAGGAGGGAGGAGGATGGGCGGAGGAGAGAGGAAGGAGGTGGGAGGGCAAGGTGAAATTGAGGAGAAGGGAGGAGGATGGAGGTGAGATGAAGAGTGGAGGGAGGATGCGGAGTGGAGAAAAAGAAAGAGAGCAGAAGAAGATGGAGGAGGAGAGGAGGAAGAAGATAAGGGGTATTTTAGAGATGAGATGAGGACTTTTTTATATGAGAAGTTGGGTCAAGGGGCCTAAACACATGGCCAAAGTGGGTCACATCAAAGTTTTAATTTTGGGGCCTAAACACAATTTTTCCAACTTAAGAATATGATAAGGATTTCAATTCTAATTACACATGAATCAAAAAACAATGATGATCTCACATAAATTATTGATTTCTAATGTATGTATGTATGTATATATGTATGTATGTATGTATATATGTATGTATGTATGTATGTATATATGTGTGTGTGTGTATGTATGTATATGTATATGTGTGTCTATATATATGTATATACAGTGTGTGTGTGTGTGTGTGTATGTATATGTATATGTGTGTGTCTATATATATGTATATACAATATATACATGTATATACATGTACATGTATATACATGTATATACATGTACATGTATATGTATATACATGTACATGTATATATCTATACTAGTTTTTATGCACGTGCAATGCACGTTGTTAAATATCAAAATATTTTATTTTTTATTTTATTACTATAAATAAGTCAGATTCATTTTAATTATTAGATTTACTATACTTTTTATTTAAACATTATAAAAAATTGATGTAATGAATTTTTGTGCTAAACTGGGATCAATATACTTAACTAGGATATCATAATTGATTTTCGCAGAAAAAGATATCAGCTGACATAATAATATCTTTAAGCATAATAGTAAAAGAAAATAAGTTAAATTGATACTATATGTCATATTCTAAACTCTACTAATCCTAAGTTATAGTACGAAGTCAATGATGAATAACAATATCATTATGAACTATAGTTCTAGCAATAAAAAATAACATTTCTTATTACATTGAAAATAGAATTACATTGTACTTTTCAACATTATAAGCTCATATTTTATAGTAAACAATCTCAAAAGCAAACATAATAAAAAGAAGTATGATAAACATGATATATATGAGATCTCAGCCTACATTATTTGATAGACTTAAAATAATAAAAAAACAAAAACTAAAGATTAATAGTAACTATAGTATAATTTTATGTGATAAAAGCAATCACATAAGCATACAAAAAAACACTACAAAATTTGCATGATAATTCATTCTAAACATTCCTAATTTTACTCAAAAATTAAGTTATAGTATAAAATGTTCAAAAAATATTATCATTTATTCTTTTTAGTATAAAATGTTCAAAAAATATTATCATTTATTCTTTTTAGTTCATATTTTATTTGAGCCGAGATCAACCTTTCTCCACCTTTATCTTATATTATCATTTATTCTTTTTAGTTCATATTTTATTTGAGCCGAGATCAACCTTTCTCCACCTTTATCTTTTTATTGGGGGATTCTAGAGTAGCGTCTTTATCATCTACATCAATTATGATATCAAGTTGGAGTAGAATTTATTGAAATTAACCTCTTCAAATAATAAAATCCAACACCAAAATCAACTCATTTATCTTATGCTCCCCCCTCAAAAATTATAACCATAATCCATCAATTGGGTTTGTTCATAATGAAGAACAAAAGACAATGTCATGAGACAAAAAGGAAAAAAAGAAGGAATTGAATAAGAATCGCTAGGCTTGTACATGATAAAGAGAAAAAGACAATATAAGAGTCCTGAAATATATTAGAATGTACTTGGATCAATTAAATTATATTATTACCCATAATTGATATGCATAAGAGACAAAACGTATTGACAACCTTAAATTATAAAACAAGTTGTATGTGCTCTCTAACATAATTTTTTAATGCAAGCAACCCACATGATTAATTTTGAAAATCTTAGTTTTGTGGAAGAGTTTGGGTGTAAATAACAAATATTAAATTATCTAATACGATTAAAGTAAGATCATATAAGTTAACCCCATATATGAAATTTATTTTAACAAAACCTCATATATAAGTATTATAATTGGCATTAAGATCAAAGATATGTGTGATATTCTCTTTAACTTTTATACAAACAATATCTATTTAAATAATAATAATATAATTAAACTTTGTGATCTAAAAAGAAATCAAACATACAATATAATTAATTACTTTAAAATAATCTAATCTAATTTAAATAAAAAGAAAATATATGAAAGTACTGTGAAAGTTGTTGCAATTTTATAATTCATAATTCTTAAACAATTTAATCTACTCTACTAAGAAGAAAGTAACAAAGTCACATACTTGTTGAAGGAGATAAAAGTACCGTAAAAATTATTGTAATTTCTTGATCTGAAAAAAGATCAAATATACAATATAATTAATTGTTTTAAAATAATCTAATCTAATCTAATAACAAAGGCACATGCTTGTAGAATGAGATAAAAGTATTATAGAAATTATTGTAATTTCTTGGCTTATATATATTGATATATGATGTTGCATGTGAGAGGATAACAATGATAAATAGAGCTCTATCTAAATAATAATAGTATAATTAAAATTTGAAACTAACTATGCAGTACTTTGAAGTTTGAACTACTTTAATTTTAGTCAGTAAGAGATCGCCACTTTGTGTGTAATTATTAATCATATAATATGTGAATAATTGTTTGTAGATTGACATTATTAAATTATGTAGCATTTGAATAATTGTTTACAATTTGAACATTGATCACATATAAGAGCGACGAGGTAAATTTGGCATTTAATAAATCGTCTAATTAACCTAAGCGTACCGTGAACTATTTAAATTTTAGTCAGTGAGAGATAGCCACGCTGTGTGTAATTATTAATCATATATCATGTGAATAATTATTCTCAGTTTGACATTATTAATCATGTAACACGTGAATAATTATTTGCAGTTTGATCATTGATCATATATAGGAGCAAGGGGGTAAATTTGGCATTAAATAAATCGTTTAATTCACCTAAGCTGCTCTTTCATTCAGGTTTACATTTCAATTTAAACTATATCCTTATCTTCATACTATGTATATCCAATAAGAATTCATCAATTTATCAACTTAATCTTACTTAATGGATTAGTATTTAAATTTTAAGGGTATTTTTGTCTATTAAAAGATTTTTCCGAACTCGTGTTTTTAAAGGGAGTATGATATATATATATATATATAATTTTTCAACAAAATTAGGAATTCAAAGCATCATATATATATATATATATATATATATGAGAAAAATAGGTATGCTTGGTACCAAGCACAAAAATTTATGCTTGGTAGTGAGGTGGCATAATCTCCTCCACTCATTCAAATGGTTGCATATCCTCATGCACTCAACCCATGTGAATGTGGTCCCCCATTTGAATGAGTGGAGTGGATTGTGCCACCTCACTCAAGGTTTTAAATATCGGATATCGGGGAAATATCGGATGGCCAAAATTCATATCGGATTGGGGATATCGGAGAAATATCGGGGATATGTGGTAAATATCGGAATGCCCTAATGAATGTTTGCATACATAGTATAATGCATTAAAATATAATCTCAACATATGTAATGAAATTTAAGCATACAAAATATGAATAATATATGTTTAGGATCACTAATCAACCTTCTAAAACAAATAAAAGTACAAAGCAACGTTGCAACATTCGATCTGCTTTTTTTAGGGGAAAATGTCATTTGATACAATAGGAAAATCTTGATATCTCTCCCAAAAATTCCAAACATGGTATATTATTTTGCAACAAGCTATATAAAAAGATATATTGGTCCACATATCGGCTAATATATCGGCCATATCGGGGATTTATCACTCAAAATAACCAAAAAACGGTAAAAGATATTTAAAGACCATATCGGTTGCGACAAGCCCTGTAAAAGGATATATCGGGGGATATATCGGGCCATATATATTTGCGTGTGTGTGTATATATATGCATATACATATGTATATGTATACATATACATATGTATATACATATATATGTGTGTGTGTGTATACATGTATATATGTATATATACATATACGTATGTCTATGTATGTGTGTGTAGACACACATATAGCTGCCCCCCTACCCTATACCTATATTTTACAAAGTTGTCATGCCCTGTACCCATATTTGCACCCGTACCGGTACCCATTTCCATGCAACTTAGCATGGCACCAAGATTTAGATCTTACTTCAGAGAAAAGGCTTTAACACAAATTATAATTAGCTGTTGTAAGTTTTAAAACAAATTTTAAATTAAAAAGTAAAGAAAAAAGAAGATACAGGAACACAAGAAGCATTTGTATACCGTGCCATTCCAGTCTGCACGATAGACCTCCCCATATGATCCTGCAGTGCAAGCACTAAATTTTTATGAATATACTTATAGAAGTACTGGCAATATCCTTGTAATAATATAATCAGAAGAAAACTTGACTCCAACACTTAATGAGATGTACAAAACGTTCAACTTGGTAAATGAAGTGTCTATCAGTATCCATAGGACCATAGCTGCACGAGAATCTCAAGAAAATGTATGTGTTTATAGTGGACAATTAATAAATTCCTTAAAACCGTGCATCTACTTTCAAGAGGTCGCTCCATGGGATAGGGAATTGTGGACGGTTCAAGGTGCAGTTAAAGCAACCCCTATGCCAGATCAACCAAGCAACTTGAGCACAAACTAGAAATACACAGGTCCAACTGTTATGAAAATATGGGGGGTGGGTTCTTTTTCTTTTTTTCTTTTTTTTTGAGGGGGGGGGGGTGCGGGACGGGCGGGGCGATAATAAGAGCAGTTTTGATGTTTTGAGGGTGAGTTGATCTGCCCGAATTAAAAATCATCCAAAAACAGCATGACGTCATTTAAATGAAATAACTAGAAGAACAATCTGTTTGATAGCATAAAATTGAGCACACAAGAAGAATTGACATGTCTAACTAGCAAAGGGAGTTCACAAAGTTGAAAAACCGCGAACTTGGAAAATATATGGAGCACAGGGTTCTGACAAGAAAGATACGACGATCGAACTGCGTGAAATATATGCAAGAGTAAATGTACCAGGTGCGTATGTGCAACAAAAAATATTTTGAGAAAGAGAGTAGAGTAAATGAACTTTCTTACTTAGGCTTTAAAATCAGAAACAAATAATTATTTTAACGTTATCCTTACCAAGACCAATTCGCTCTCCAACCTGAAGGTCTTCCCATGGTATCTCCCATTCAGCAACACCATCCAACAATGAATTTAGTTTTTCATTATCAGCAAACCGCAATTTGTTCTGATTATTTTCACGCGTACTAGTAAAATTCAGGAAAGGGTTCTGTTGACATTCTCCCACAAATATATTGCCTTGTGCGCCAACATTTTCTGTAGCTTTCTCCGCATTTGTATGAGAGTACTGTTTACCTACTGCTTTTGAATTACTTACAGCTTGCTTTGGGCTAGACTCAGCTTCGTATGGAGCAGAAGGAAGAGGCATTTGATTTTGGTATTGAGCTCTAAATGGGACAGAAGTAATATGAACTATATCCCTGTCTATAGCACAAGAATCATGCAGGCAATTTACAGTAGCTCCAGTTTCGTGTACCAACACCCCTTTGCTTCCTCTCATGAATGGTGGACGCTGAGAAGACTCTACTGGATTCCAGAACATATCATCCTTTCTTCCTTGCTTATCATACATGTCTTCAAAAGATTGCTGCTTCCTTTTATCATCAGCTAAGTTTGAAGATTCTGCGTGTTTGTTAGGCAACTGGTATGCTGTTACCCCTTCTCCCTCCATGCATATATTGTTAACATCCTTTTGTTCTCCTAGGTTGTCTGATAAGTTTAGATCTGAAAACAAATCTAGGGGTGGCGATGCTCCACTCTCCAACAGCACAGCATGCAATTTCTGCGCAAATTCAGGGTTTTTTGCTGCAGTAACTACATATTTTGAAACATCATGAACTTTCATCTGTTGAGCAGGTGATATTTCTGTAGCACCTGATGCGTCTGCTTTTAGTCTATCTGGCTGTCTATCTGGTGAAGGAAGAAACAGTTTGTCTCCAGACTTCTCAGTTTGATCTTTTCCAGTGTTTCTCAGATTATCACCAACAGCTGAAGAGCCTGATTTTGATTCCTCTTCCAACTGAAAGCATGCAATACCAGAAACAGAATTATTACCAGATGAACTTTCTTCTGACCTGTGGCTTTTCTTCTCAATCTGAGAATTAACATTGTCAAGAGCCAAGCATAAATCTGTAACTGTCTGGTCAATGGTATCACCACTATGTGGGTTAAGCCCAGAATTC